GGTAGCTTCTTTGCACTGATAAAATGCATCCATTCATTCTGTCAGTGAAGAACGATTCTAATCGTTGACAGTATAGCAGGGAATCCATGCCTATCTTCAAGTAGCTTATATTGTATAAGGGGAAATCAGCAATAATTAAAATATGATGGTGATTAAGTGTACGTGTACAATGGTAGTGAAAGGGACCCTAATTTAAAGTATGTTCAGGAAATACCCATAAGATAAGGTGATATTTAAGCAGAATCATTAATTAACTGAAAGTGTGTCATGCAGATACAAATGGGGAAGGGCAGTGGTGTGGGGAAAAAATAGAAGGAAAAAATTGTCAGGATGGGAACGTGCCTACAAGATGGAGGAATATCCACGGCTAGTGTGTGGCTTCATGGGACATGATGTTCAGTTTCTATTGGAGACATTTAAAATATGGAGACTTCTTCTAGTCAGAATTTCTTTTTTATTCTTTAGGACTTAAGAAGCAATCCTATATAAACTGGCTGTTTATATAGCCTTTTTCATGAACTTTAAAGTTGGGGGTGGGGAGTGTTTGGAAACTCCAGTCTCTAGTCAGTTGGTCAGAAGCACAGGTGACAACTTGGACTTGTCACTGGCTACTGAAGTGTGTTGCGGTGGGGGGGGGGGAGATCAGTCTTATGGGATCTGATACTATGTCTGAAAAGTGTCAGAATTGAGTTGAATTGTAGGACTCCCAGCTGGTGTCATATACAATTGCTCGTTGCGGATAAAATGTCTACATATCTGTTGACTGGAAATGTCAGAAGTGAAGTATTGTCTGTGAGTGTGGTGGCAGTGTGAGACAGAGGAAAGACACACAATAGGAAGAACTGGGTCTTTTCCTCCACAGGAGGAAGAGAACTTTATAAGAAACTCCACCTTGCAAGAGGATTTTATGCAGCCTTTCAAAGTCCATATAGTACTTTACCAAGACAAACCATTCTTGTCTTGGTAAATTTTAAAAGAATCCAAGTTATACAAAATATCTGTATAACCATAATGTTATTAAAATAGAAATAAATAACAGGAAAATCCCTGGAAAATCAAATATTTGGAAAAATAATGACCTACTTGTGACTAATCGTGGGACAAAGATGAAATTAAAAAGGAAATGGGAATGTATTTTGAATTGACTGAAAATGGAAACAGAACGTATCAACATTTCTAATTTGCCACTAGCGCAGGACCCTTGGAGAAAGGATAGCAGAACACTGAAAGCCTGAAGTCTCTTTCATTTTCTTGTTTGCATGGGTTTATTTTTTTCCTTTTCCATTGTTTTTTTTTAACATTTTTTATTGATTTATAATCATTTTACAGTGTTGTGTCAAATTCCAGTGTTCAGCACAAGTTTTCAGTCATTC